TTTCTCCAAAGCGCCAGACTGCTCTTCTTCTGAATAAATGAAAACTATGTAACACAGTTGTTTACACTTAAATTAACAATATTTAACCAAAGACAAACAGGAGCAAGACTAGAGAGATATTTATGATTTATATTTTTATTTTCTGTGACTGTATACGACCCGCAGGAGACACGACATTAACAGTAGTCGTCATTTCATTTCTTGGCTTTAGCAGGTCTGACGCTGCTAAAAATGACAGATTTTCTTTTCTGGATCTTTGAGAGCAGGACTTCAATCTCCAAACTTGTAAAGTTCTTCTTCTTTACTTTGCAATGTCATTTATGAATGGACACTTCCTGGTATGTGGGGCAGGAAATATATCCTTATATGGTGTTTTTAGGGTGGTAATTATGCTAATCACCTCTCCCCGTGCATGAGCAGCTGATACACATTCATCATGTTTATGCAGGTCATTTACACACTTTTCCTGAAGATAGAAGAGTTTGTTGAATCTGACAATGTTCGTAGGAATCCTTCATACGAACAAAAGCAAGAGAAATTTAGGGTAAGAATACGAACATGTTCTTGCATGAGGCCCAATGTCTCTGACAGGAGATATGTGATGTCACCTTAATTTCGGTTTGTAATATCGATTAATATCGGAATTGGAAATTAAGTGTTGAACAATATCGGCAAAAAGTCAATATCGAGCAACTCTAGTAAAAATATGAAGTTATTTAAAGAAATAAGAGCAACTAACAATAAATTATATTGACCTGAATGAATAGAAGTACAACACTTAGTGAGCCTGCTTTAGCATTTTAAAATATTTTTCAATGATTATTAATGCTTTTTAAAGTGTTCACAAACTAATGCATAGACTGTTTATAAAGCATTAAAAATCCATTAGGTAGTGGTACCAATTGGATTTTGGAGACCAAAGAGGATTTTGGATGAAACTTTGAACAGATTTTTGCGCTGTAACAAAGTACCAGTAGATGGTGGCAAAATATGTCAGCAAATCTATTCAGGCAGGACAAAAAGGCAAATCAGCAGTGAAAGCATGATTAGCATTCATACCATCACTGTTATCTGTGCAACAGTCTAACGATCTGTATTATGACAAACCACCCTGCCTATCAAAAGTTTCATTGCAAAAAATAAAGATTTATAATATCACAGAATTTATCATCATCATGATTTAATCTACTCTCATTCAGTCATCGTCTGTGTTGCATTCTTTTCAATACAGAGTGACAACACAAAAGTTATTTGGCATTCAGAGTAGCAGTATTGTAATTAGCTGTCTGGACGAGCAAACAAAAACGAAACAAGAAACTAATTGAGCACTAAAAAGGCAGGCTGGAAGAAGAAATTACAATGTCATAGCTGACAACATATTGTTATTCATCAAACTGTTGCAAGAGACAACATGAAGACATGATCGTTTATCTCCCGCAAACTTTTGTATAAAAAAAAATCTCAGAATTTGCACTGAACTTACAAATGAATAATTTATCAAACCTACGTCTCCTTTTGCTTCCGACAGAACCTGGTGAATTCTCTGCTCCTGGCAGTCTCCTAGATTCACATAAAGAAAATACAAACAAGTCAGATCCAATTTTAGACACACACAGTGGGTGTTTCTGGTATTTCACAAACACTTGGTCGAGTCAGCGGGGTGTATAGATGACAGCCACTCACGCTTTGCCGCCTTCCACATCGCCGTCACCCTCCTGCGAAGCCTGATCTACAGGCTGCTCATCTGCAGGGCTCTTCAGGGCAACGCTGTCGAGCAGATTCACCACCAGCTGGTTCAGGTTGTCGGGGTTGGCCAGCCAGTTCACCAACTGCCTCAACCCTGAGAAAACAGACGCCACAGTCAACCTACAAACTTTACTTCTTCTTAAACCAAAAGGCTTCGGAAAACATTGTTTTATGTCTTTGACCATGTGTATGTGTTTCTCTGTTAGCAAAATATCTAATGAACCACAGGTTGAATTAAAAACAACAACCCAGAGTAATAACTGGATATAAATCTACATCTAATTATCTTTGGAAGTTAACTCAATTCAATTAAAAATGGCCACAACAGCTCACTGACCAGAGCTAAAACTGACTGATGTGAAAGCAGTTGAGAGAGAGAAAGAAAGAAAATGGCTCAAAAGGTAAGAAAGAAGAAATGAATACGGGTTTTGTTGCAAACCGATTGGTGTACCTACAGAAGTTCTTCTCATTTCTACCCATTTAAGTTTATGGATGTTTTTAGTTTGTGTGCATTCCTGCTGTAGGTGAATCAAAAAAGTTTAATTATAGATGATTACTGTCAACAGGGCAGAACCAAATTTACAGCTGTTGTTAAGCAACATAAAGGCAGTGATTTAGGCTTGTGTTAGCAGGGCAGAGCATAATTGACCAAAGGCAGAGAACCCCGATTCTTGTTTTGAAAACACACTTACTCACCTTGAATATCATGGAACCATCTAAAAAACACCACCTTATCAGGCATTTTGAAAGGCTAATGTATATAAAAGAAAATACCAGGAAGACATCTCGTTTCACAAGTAAGCAAATTTAATCTTATTTAGCTCATTGTGGATTGACCAGAACTAAAGCTAATAATGTAACAGTATAAAACTTCATTAATCTTATAAAGCTGATGTAATCACTATTAATCATTGAACTGGTTAGCAGAGCTTATCTTCTTTAGCATATATTGTTATACAGAATGTAGCATTCTGCTGAATCATGCTACAGTTTACTTTAACACAAATTATTAAATATTACAAGCTGGTTTTGCCTCTGATTTATGTAATATTTACAGTGTAAAATAATATTATATATTTAACTATTTTTAGGTTTCCATTAGACAAACCTAACCTGTTGAGGAGGTGGTTAGCCAACGTCAGTAGAGACAATTTTCATTTTAAATTATCATCGGGTGTTCAAAGAACAATTTCTAAGTGCAAACTGGTAAATATTTATTATTATTATTATTATTATTATTATTGATAAAACAATATTATACATTACTAGTTGAATTCATAATTTTTCAACCAACTAAAAAGTGTAAGTTAGTCATTTGAACAGAGCCGCTGTTTATTTACAAAAACCTATCTGATAAAATTCAAATAGAGTCACTACTATTGTACGTTTCTTTTATATAAATGCAGCAGTTTCCATTTCCTCTGCATAAAAAGTGACTCTTACATATGACCTAGTTAGATTTTAATCTGAAAATGTTACAGAGAAGCATCACATTAACACGTTCAGCTGCTTTCAGGTGAAATGGGGAGTGCGTACACGTTTAAAATGACTTTTATTGTAAAGAAGATTCTTATATAAGCACAAAAACCTTTACTACAAAAAGACTCATGAGATAAAAGTTATCCGTTGCTAAAAAAAAATGAACCCCCTAAGAGAAATTGGAGGATCAGAGCATAAGTGTCTTTTCTTTCGGAGAACCTAAAATTCCTCTCTAAGCTCTACAATGCCACTGACAAAGGATTACAAAGAATTCACACTTCTGAAGGAAGCAGAACAGCTTAGTCCTTATATAACCCAGTGTTACTGTAGAAAGGTGATTTAGTCCCTTCTTACCCTTTAAGGCAATGATCTCATTTAAGACACAATGGTTGATTTCTTGCCCCCAAAACGACTTGGGGCAAAGGTTGCGTATCAATGCATCGGAAAGCTCTCTGAGAACTGCCACTTCCACTGCAGCGGAACTGAACAAAGGCTCTCTGAAACACAAAACAAAAATAACAAAAGAAGTCCAAATGAGCACTAAATATTTATCTAATAAGATCATGGTTTTCATAATTCAGTTCACTTTAAATCACCACATGCTTTATGAAGCAGCTCAAAACATGGTTAATAATTCATAGGAGAAAAAATGAAGTTTATGAAGTTCAGATGTTGTCCTGAGTGCAAAGAGTGACTGCGGCAGCACCAGCATGAATTCTGACTCCTGCTAAAAGGCGGAAAAATCTGTACCTGTCAGACTGCTTTGCATTATGAAAATGCTGGGTTAGAATCCTAATGGAGCCCACCACAGCCTGGCAGATGTCAAAATCTCTGGACCTCTCGATGATGCGGTCGATTACGAAGTCCACCTCCCTGCTGAGCACCCTGTGCAGAGGCTGGTACTCGCGGGGCTCGGGGACGCCGTACCAGGGCTGGACGTGCCGAGCGTAGGCGCACTCGAACACTGAGGAGAACCACAAGAACGTCAGGGAGTCACAATAGTGACTACAAAAATAAATAAATTAGACAACACCCACACTTAAAAGCTTCAAAACAGCTAACCCAAATCCCTAACCAAAAAAAGCTTTTTAAAAAAACAATTAAATAAATCTGAAAATAACTCTAAACTAAGCTCATATGACAGAATTCTCCTCTGAACATGGAGATAAGATAATCAGATTTCCATCAATCTGTGAAGCAGTGAGCATGTCCTAGTTATCTTGAACATGACTTTAGTTAAATACTCCTGCGATGTTTTCTGAGAATAAAAAAAACTCTGCTTAAAAAAGAAATTAGTGTTTGGTAGATCACTTCTTTGTTGTAACAATGCTTCTTGATAATTTTATGCTGTTTGAAAGCCTGTAAGTTTCCCTTTTAAATGGTGCCACATTTGTAAGGAACATGCATTTGTGGGATAAGCAGTAGAGCCGAGAATGTGGGTTGTGCACATGAAAAATTTGCCAAATCTTCTCTGCCATTGCCAAACTGTCTGCTGAACTAACACTACTTCTCACTCAGTGAAGCTCTTTTCAGATTCAAAATATCTTTGAGGAAATGTATTTTCAGGTGCCAAGTAAACTGCATCATAGCGCACGCGCGAAACAAACCACCCCCACGCGTGCGAGTGAAAGAGTGTGAAAGAGTTTTTCTTCTAAGACAGGAGAATGGGTTTCTAAGAGAAATTGCCTTGGAGCAAAGACATTTCAAAAACTTTTGTTCCTCAAAAAATGCATAAACTAACCAATTTTTAGTATTTTTAGTATATTATTAAATATTTTATTTCATATGGTTTAACACTTAACAAAATTATATACTAATAATTTTAACTCTAAATTTTATTATAAAC